GAAGTGTACGAAGAGGAGGGGAGAGTGATGGGACGAGCATGATGAGGAGGTTGAGTTAGGGTGGGATAATGTCGAAACTAGTGACCGTAGTTCTTGTATAGGGGAGGGAAGGAAATGGGGAGGGTGGCTCCCTCGGATGGGGCCATATTTGTGAGAGTATTTTTAATACACAAGTTGTAGTGGAACTTGAGGATATCAATCATAATCTTGTCTCTTTTGAGCTCCTTTGGCACTTCATTCCATTGATATAAATTTCTTACCAAACTCAACCAATCCATACAATCTTGGATGTGGAGCTTACCATGAAAACAACCTTGATACCGGTATCCTGTGGATACTCCATACTTTGTGGTTCTTACCTCAAAATTTACTCATTATGTGCAAGTTCAGCGCTTGGAGTTGGTTGAGGAGCTCGATTGGAATTTGCTGTCCAATCTAATGGGTTATGAGCTTGACTCTTCTTGGCAACTGATATTTATAATTGGTTGCGACCATTGATTAATTTCCCCGATCTCTTCTCGAAATTTGCCGGTTTGGACTAGAAAATCTTCCATGGCTAGATATGCTCTATCTAATTTAGTGATTCACAAACTCCATGATCTGTGATAGTATATCCTTGCTTGCAAGATCATGTTTTGGTGGCATTGTGATTAATCGATTTTGAAGCTTTGATACCCACTTGATGTATGAAAGAAGTTGAAAGAAAATAAACTAAAGGGCCATAACCCTGTATTGGTCCTGCCTACGCAGGGTTTCGCGAGGGGTGAGCTAGAAATAGTCCTAACCTTTAGTTTTTAATGCACAAAGTGGTCGCTCTCAGGACTCGAACCCGCGCTCTAGCGCTGGCTACTCGAGCCTTTTACCGTCACACCAAGGGATAGCCCCTTGAAAATAAACTAAACCAGAAAACAGAAATTCAAACAAAGGTGAGAGGATATACTCTATCTAGGTCTGTCGAGGTGTCCACCCTTGAGAGATTTGACCGTTTTGGAATCCAACCCAAAAAAAATTTTCATAGGAAAAACCAATTCTTATTCTTCCCATCTTGTCCTTGTCCAACATCTACATACTTATAAAAAAGTTTTAAAACCCTAAATTGCCCCATAGGAAACCCTAATCACCGTTCAACTTTAGCCCTTCATAAATCTCAAAATTAAAAATTTTAAATTCACCCCTCATTTCTCTACAACAAAAAAGAAACAAATACCCTGAAAAAACTAAAAGGCCAAATAACCAAATTTCAATCTCCAAAAAATATAATAAATTGAAAAAATATGAAACCCTTTCAATGGTATGAGCAAATGAAAGCACTAATGCCTTCTAGGATTAAGCATGAGCATCAATCTCCAAAAATATAATAAATAAAGAATACAAAGCCCTTTTAATGGTTTTAGCAAATGATTAAGCATGAGTAGTCTGCATTTCTGTGGACCTTAACCATCCCATATGAGGGGCAATCCATGACATTTTGTCATGAAAGTTTTCATGGAAATCCGAAGTCTAAAGTTTCTTTATGTTAGAGCCTTAGATTGTTGTTACTACTAACTAAATATCAAGGCTAGTTTTCTAGGGACTAATGTGGTGAAGACTAAATTATTATGAGAAAATATTTCTCAATTCCACAAAAATGGGTATAATATGGATTTATTCTCTTCAAAGAGCGCATCCATTTCCCCCCCAAGGATGGGTCGAGTATTCGCTTCTGGTTAGACCCCTGGCTTATCTACTCTCGTCCCTCCTCTCGGTTCCCTTCCATCTTCCGTCTCGCCCCGTGATCCGTCTGTCACTGTTCTCTCCCTCGTCTCCATTGATAGTGGACCTAGGACATGAAACCTTGATTTCTGTTGCACTTTATGTGACTCTGAACTCCCTGCCTTCCAGGACCTCTCCCTCCTCATTGCCTCCTTCCCCCCCGCTTAGGAGGGGTGAGGACCACATAGTCTAGACTGCCTCCAGCTCTAGGAGGTTCTCAGTGGCCTCCCTCTATCGCTCTTTCTTCACCCATAACCCCGGCACCTTACCAAGCCATCCGGTGATTCCTAAGGCATGATCCACCATCATCCCACCTAGAATCCAGTACTTCATGTGGCTGGCTCTGTTGGAAAGGGTTCTTACGGTTGATCTACTACAACTGAGAGGCCTGCCAATTCCAAATGGATGCGTAATGTGCCGGGAAGCCGAAGAGACCAACACTTACCTTTGCCTCCACTGCCCTACAGTCGTGGCTCTCTGGCATTCCAACCTATCTCTTTTCGATTGGTCCTGGGTTACGCCTGCGGACGTCCCAGTCTCATCTCCTCTTTCATCCTCACTCCCCTGCTGAAAGCCAGGATATTGCTATGGAAAGCCACCATGGGTGCCACATTGTGGACCATTTGGAAAGGACACAACAGTTGTATTTTCCAAGGGGAGACGCATCTCTCTCCAAACTTATTGATTCCATTAGGGGCTCGGTCATCTTTTGGGCCTCTAACCACAAACTCTTCAAAGGAATCCCTGGGTCTACATTTCTATCTCAACCACCGGCGTGCCATAGTGCCTCGGTCAGGTCTCTGGAGACCGTCGAAGAGTGGTGCTGTCAAACTCAACTTCGATGGCTCATCTTTGGGTAACCCCGGCCCAGCAGGAGTTGGGGGAGTCTTTTGGGACGACCACGGATCCACCCTCCTCTCCTACTCTCTCTCTATAGGGGTAGCTGACTCTATTGAGGCGGAGGCCAGGGCACTTCTCGAAGGCCTGCAACGCTTTGATAGCTCTTGGGGTCTCCCTCTCAGGGTGGAAGGGGACTCACAAAGAATCGTCTCTTGGGATTTCGGAGAAGCCCAACCTCTGTGGAGGGTATGGCACATTTTTTATGCTATCTTTGATCTTTGCAGGGATATGCCGGTCTTCTCGACTCATATCTGGCGGAGGCCAACTAGGTTGCTGACGGGCTAGCAAAACAGGGAGCTGCCTCCGCTCTTCTTCTGGCCTAATCGCTTCTCTTGCCTATTTAGTGGGCCTGCTTTTTGTTTTTTGTCTACTGTTGCCGACTGTATCTATGGGGCTGTGACCCCTGTTTTTTGGTTTTCGTCTTTTCTCTTGTCACTCCTCTTGGTGACTTTTTGCCTTGTACTTCTTTAACCATCAATACAATGTTAACAATATCAAAAAAATATGGATTGCTTCTCTAGTCCAAATAATGATATGAAGGTTTCTTGTGCTTCTGTTCCAGTGATTTTGCGAGAGTGTCCAACTCGGCATTATTACAGATTCTATTTGGCTGTACTGGTGAAGAGGCTGAATAGTTTGGTTTTGGCCTCTTTTCTCTAGTGAAATAGAAAGCAAAGCAAAATTAGCACAATTTTTTCAGCCTTCTTTGGTAGAATTAATTTTTTTTTTTTCATTTTATTCTTTTTGAATCTCTGCCTCCTTTGATTGCAAAACCTAGGGTCTAAGATGCCTGGGTATGGATGCTGGTTTGTACATGTCTATGGGGAGTGAAAACACAACCTAGCATTTCTTAATTCTGGGGCATACAAATGAAAGTATCCTATCCAACTTGATAAGTATATAATGGATAAACTATCATATAAAGTGACATTTGTGTGGTATATTTTAGTTATGTCATGACATATGTGTGGTATATTTCAGTTATGTCATGACATATTCTAGATGTATCTCTTAAAATATTATACTTTATCTTTTCGATAATGTTACTGTATATTGTACTGAGATATCATATTTTAATTCTTTCATGTTTTCATGCATAAAATTACATTTTATTCATTTTCTGTTTTATATTTGTGTAATTTTATGCTTTACATGTATCTTAGGAATATCTGATATTGGTATCAGTACGATCATTACTGATCGTATCGTGTTGAGAAGTATGCGATGCATAGAGATGCCTCTGTCTTAAACAAGGGTAAGAAATTTGTCCTAGAACTCCTAATTTAGTGGGGCATCAAAAAGAGGCAAAACCCCTATCTTTATTAAAACCCGACCGGGCTAATGGTTTTCACAAATATGAAGGAAATGCAGAAAATGCATTCCAAGTTTTAGGTGGGTTAGGAAAAGAGCCCGGGCTTAATTGGTTAGCACTTGACGATTTGCAATGCTGCGTTCTAGGCTCAATTCCTACCAAGGGTAGGGGCCCTCTCCCCACTAACTCACCCAAAAAATTTTTAGGTGCATTCTCTTGGATGATACATAAGTCATGTTGTGGGCAAAGTACAATGTTGCCCTCGTAAAAATAACAAAAAACAAGACATTCATGTAGAATATAAACAAAAAATAAAATACCATAACACCTCCCCATCCTCTAGATGACATGATACCATGCAAAGCTTGTCTCTCTCCCAAGAAAACTTCTTAATGATGGCCTTTGCGATAATATCTGCAATTTCACCTGAGGTTTATATGTAGTTCATTGCAATTGCTTGTCATGAACCATATGTCTCCCATATTGATGATCCAGCCACCCATGTTTAGTCTTACCACGTGTACTGTGTTTTTGATAATTTAATAGCACTTCATTTGTCACAATACATGACTGTTGGTTTCGCCAAATACACATTTATTTCTGAGAGCGAGTTGGATGACCACACAACTTCTCGATCTGCAAGAGCTACAGATCTGTAGTCTTCTTCAGTGTCTGACCCTTGGCCCCATAATTTTCTGTTTCTGTTGCTCCATGAGTTATTGGACCACCTGGGTCCTTAATTTTTTGAAACTCTGTCAACCATCTTTATGGCTAAAATTTCTGAGATAGTTCGAGTTTCAGACGACATTAGCTTTAGCAATATTTGGTTTGTACTTACTAATCATATAGAAAACCTTATCCTGAAATCTCTCCACAGATAGGTTCATCAGTTTGAGATGAATATATGGAATGGTAAAATTATGCTATCATGTGTCATGACAATTGAGATTCACTTTATGCTTGTGGAGTCTTCAATATTCAGTATGGTTTTATCCTTCATGAACACTTGTCCTTAACCTTATTATTGCTCTTGCAGCGGAAACAATAATTTTGGCCTTCCAAAATTACATCGTGATGTTGGGCACAAGTGTCATTATCCCTACGATGCTTGTGCCATTGATGGGTGGAACCTATGTGAGTAGTAACCTTAGTTCAAATACTGGACAAATCTATTTCTCCCTCAAATGCTCAATTACTACTTAGTTATTCTGTATCAATGTTTACCTTGAATACAACATAGGAGGACAAAGCCCGGGTCATACAAACTTTGTTATTTGTGGCTGGAATCAACACACTTCTTCAAGCATTGTTTGGAACTCGGTTGCCAGCAGTGGTCGGTGGTTCCTACGCTTTTGTTATACCAATCCTCTACATAATAGGCGACTCGTCTTTTCAGAGAATTCCCGATAATCATGAGGTTAGAATTCTTGTAGCTAAAACATTTAGCAGTACTTTTTAGTTTTCTCATCAGAGTAGTTTGCTGGAACATTATCTAAAATGGTTCGTTCATATAGGAGGATTTCTCTCATTTTAAGTTTTATTGGATGGGCATATTCCTCTATCATGCCTTTTGACATGCTTCAATGCAGAGATTCATTCAAACCATGCGAGCAATTCAAGGAGCATTGATTGTAGCCTCGAGCTTGCAGATCATTATAGGTTATAGCCAGCTTTGGGGCATCTTTTCACGGTAATTCACTTGATTATTATCATGTTTTCTGGTATTGGTGGTGTGTTTTGCATGAAGGATGTATGTAATGGTCATGGTTGGTTTTCTTGGCAGGTTTTTCAGCCCCCTGGGAATGGTACCTGTGGTTACATTGGTGGGTTTGGGGTTGTTTGAGCAAGGATTCCCTGCGGTATTCCTGCTTTTCTTATTTATTTTCATCTCCATTGTTTCTTTTGCCAAATTTTTATGAATGTCTTTGATTTTAATTAACTTGTTTTCTAAGGTGGGAAAATGTGTGGAGATTGGCTTACCAATGCTTCTATTGGTCGTTGCTTTTTCACAAGTGAGCTCATCTACTTCTATTTTGAGAGTACACATTCTGTTAAAATTTGAAGTCATTTACGGTCATTGTGGAAATTACCATTGTTGTTACCCTTTGGATTGCAGTACTTGAAGCATGTAAAGGAAGTTAGAAATGTGCCAGTGTTCGAGCGCTTCTCAGTTATTATATGTATTACTATCATTTGGGCATATTCTCATGTCTTAACTGCAGCTGGAGCCTACAGACATAAGCCTCTGAAAACCCAAATCCACTGTCGCACTGATAGATCTCACCTCATATACTCTGCCCCTTGGTAATTTAAATGACAATGCATTGTTTTTTCTGCATTTTGTTTCTTTTGTGAGGAATTATGGATAGGTGCCTAGCACTTGAGAAACTTCAAATTTTGAAGTAGTGCATTGGCATGTCATTTTGTTCACAAATGACTACTTTATCCCACTCACATATTAAATACTATTCAAGGATTATCTAAAACTACTAAACTAAGGACACTAGTGCTTTTTAAGAAAAGGCACTGTCTTAAACTTTCAAATTTTCCTACAATATAATCTTGAAGTCCTGGTTTTGTCTGTGTAGGTTTATGTTCCCATATCCGTTGCAGTGGGGTCCTCCGACATTTGATGCAGGCCATACATTTGCTATGATGGCTGCAGTTTTGGTGTCTCTAACGGAGGTAATATGTGACAACTGAACAAATAAAAATAGGTTATTATTCAACACCGTTTTCATAAATTCATAATAACAAGTTTCTTCTTACGTTTTCTGCAATTGCAGTCTACAGGAGCTTATAAAGCAGCAGCTCGTCTAGCGATTGCCACTCCTCCTCCTGCTTATGTTCTTAGTCGAGGAATTGGGTGGCAGGTGAGCTGAGCTGATCAAACATATAGGACTCTTGCTTCTTTCTTTCTATAAACCTTGATAGTTGGGTTTTCTGGAGAAGCTGAACAGCAATGTAGTACGAACCTTATGAAGAAAAAACCAAGACAAATGGGGAGTGGTTTTGTATTTCACACAACCTCATGGTTGCAGGCACAGAACACCTTGCAGTTGAGCCATGGGCTAGAACCCTTTAATTTTATCTTCATTAGCTTTAAAGTTATGATTAAATTATTTCTGATCAAAAGTGATTTTCCGTCTAACATTTGGCAGTTAAATCAGAAATAATGTCTTCCTACATTTCATACTATTTATTGTTCATATCTTGTCACCACAGTTTCTAGTTTTAATTCTAGATTTTTTCAAGAAAAATAAGGAACTGAGAAACTCTTTTTTTTGCATTGTTTTCCATATGAATAGACACCCTCTTTCTTTTCTCTGTTATAGGTCAGTACTTCCAAATCCTTTTTATTTAATGTAAGTAATTTTGTTAAGTTGTTGGACACAGGGAATAGGCATACTGCTTGATGGGCTATTTGGAACAGGCACTGGTTCTACTGTATCTGTGTAAGGAAAATACGTGTTCAAGATCCATCTTCTGCTCTTTTCTCCTTGGGTGGCATAATAATGACTAGAGCAAAGGTTTGATCTTTTTCATTGAAATTTCAGAGAGAATGTGGGACTTCTTGGGCTGACCCGGGTTGGGAGTCGCAGGGTTGTCCAACTTTCTGCCGCCTTCATGATTTTCTTCTCAATCTTTGGTGGGTCCTCTACAATCTTGTTCCCAAACTTCTCTTCCCTTTGTTTATACATCTGACTGTAATTTTTTTTTTTTGAAATGTTAACATATGACTCACTGTATTTTATGTGCTTGCAGGGAAATTTGGAGCTCTTTTCGCATCCATTCCCTTCCCCATATTTGCGGCACTCTACTGTATCTTGTTCGGCCTTGTAGGTTTGTCATCAAAATCTTACTTTTTATTGTAAAGGAGGAAAATCCATATTCAGAGGTCTCTATCCTCGTCGTATAAATGGTTGGATGGTGATGGGGAGAGAGAGGGTCCTGCCACAAGGATTATGTCATGCTCTGGAGGGCAGTATTTTAAAAAGCGGACCGCCTAGCCCTTGGGCGGCCGCCGAGGTGGTCCAGAAGGCACGGGTGCATCGCCCAGGTCTAGGCGGCCAAATTAGGCAGATATCCCTAGGTGCCTGCCTAGGCGCCCGCCTGACCCGCCTAGGTACCCGCCCTGCATCCCTCCCAGGGGCGGAAATGAATCGTTGAGGGTATTTTTAGGTCATTTGTTTTAATACTGAAGGGGCAAAATTGTGGGTTACCTAAAACCCATTAGAGCCTATTTTAGAGAGAGAACAAACCCAAAAAAAAAAAAATTCTACTGGGCCGTCCAGGTTTTGGGCACCCGCCTAAACGCTGGGCAGCCTGGACCCCCCGACAGCCTAGGTGCCGCGTAGCACTTTTTGAAACACTGTTGGAGGGTTACACTCTCTCCATCACACATCAATTGATTGTATGATACCAACTCCTTTGACCAATCATATTGTATTATGTATGCACAAGGTATGTCTATATGTATGTTAATATATATGGTTGTCAATTTCGCCACATATGTCATGTATGCCTTTTTGTGGGTATGCAGCATCAGTTGGGCTCTCATTCCTTCAGTTCACCAACATGAATTCTATGAGGAACCTTTTCATAACTGGGCTTTCCCTCTTCCTTGGAATATCAGTTCCCCAATACTTCAACGAATTCTGGGCTTCTGCCCGTCATGGTCCTGCCCATACGCATGCAGGCTGGGTAAGAGACTTTTATTTGTTTATGCTTTATAGGGAAAATATCAAGACACTACTTGGAGCATCTGCCAACATCATGTAGGTGACCTAGAAACATGGAACATCAGGATGGTATATTGGCCCATTATTTCCTGAATGACTATTTTACACCGTGTCATTGTAGCCTGTGACAGGCACTGTCCAGCATTCTAAACAACAGATTAGTTGTGAAATATCTTTCCAAAAAGAAAATAGTGGTAAAATAGTCATTCTACAGATTCCCAATATTATTGATATTTTGAGTTCCTAGAGCACCTGCATCGCTGATCCAAGCATGCAAGGCAGCGGTTGGTTGGTTTCCGTTGATTTTATCATGTAGAACTGAATTTTCTTTGAAGCAATTTTCTGAACAAAAGATTATGATGATGGGATGCAGTTTAATGCTTTCTTAAACACGATCTTCTCGTCTCCACCAACAGTTGGATTGATAGTTGCTGTTACTCTCGACAACACTTTGGAAGTGGAGAAGTCAAAGAAAGACAGGGGTATGCCATGGTGGGTGAAGTTTAGAACTTTTAGAGGAGACAATCGGAATGAAGAATTCTATACATTACCCTTCAATCTCAACAGGTTCTTTCCACCCACATGAGTCTTTGGCACTAAACAAATCAGCCAATGATTATGGGCTGCCTTTTTTGTATTGTTATTAGTGATGGCAAGATGGGTTCGGTAAGGGAGAGCTAATTTAATGTTTTTAGGAGATTTCGGCGCAAGGCCTCATCTCCTTGGGGACTGAAGAAACTCTTTTGATAGCTAAGCCTCTGAATTCAACACTGATCATTTTTTCCTTTGCATCATGTCGTTGATGTTGTTGCTTGTGTTGCAAGTGTAATCAAATTTGTTGGCCTTCCAACAATGTGTAAGAGAAACATGAGCAGCAGCTGAATGTAATATTCTAAGTTCTTGGTGTTGTAACAAAATTTACAGAGCAGCCTTTTCTTTTTGTTTTACTTCACACACAAACACGCACATGCACTTAAAAGGTATTGCATTTTTTGTTTTAATTGTGGGAAAATATTGCAGCTGTCATTTGTTCAAAAAGCATATGTATGGAGGTGAACTGCTGCTTGGGCATGTCTCCAACAAATCCTCCCATGTTTGTTCATTTGTCCAACACCCATCTGTTTTCAAACTGAAAACGGATGGTAGATATGCTGCCTGCGCACTATGAACTGATTGGATATGCACTATGCTCCATATGTTGTTCCGAATGTTGGCAATTTTAGCCGTTTTGTGCAGGACACTTAACATCTGCAGAGTTTGGACACATATATTCTTTATGAATTTTAGTAAATGAAAATTAGTGTGATGCATCGTGCTTTCAGAGAGTAAACTACACCTTGTATGAACTATCACTGGTCAACAATGGACGGCTGATGAACCATTCCACCACGCAAGGGGAAACAACAATTATTGATGGTACCATTTCTAAATTACATACAACACTAATTGCATTAGCGAATGGTTGCGGGTAAGGAAATGCTTTGGCTAAAAAGATTGAATTGCTTATGAGGAATTTCCTTTGGGGTTCTTTGAGGGACTCAAAAAAATTCCATCTCCTTAGATGGGATAGGCTATGTACACCAAAAAGGGAAGGGGGTTTAGGGATTAGGAAAATCAAGTTGGTTAATCAGGTTTACTTTGTAAATGGTGGTGAAGAAGTTTAAATTTTAAAGATCAGCTTTGGTATACAGTGATAAGCTAGAGGTATGGTAATGATAGATTCAATATGTGGGTTGGAGGCAGGCTTGGTAGCAGAAGGATGTCACATTTTTTGAGATCTATTTATTCATGTAAGGCTCTTATCCACAAAGATATCAAATGGACAATTGGTGATGGAAGTAATATCTCTTTTTGGCACCATAAGTGGTTAGATAATTCTCCGTTAAAATATGTGTTTTTTTTTATTTTCAACAGGGTGGGTAATCCCAATGCGTTGATTTCAGATCTCTTTGAGAGAAGGGGGAATCAGATTGAGTTGAAGATCATTTTACCATATAATAGAATTCCCGATCAGTTTTTCTCGGAGTTTAGTGGTTTGTTATCAGCGTTAAATGAGTTGTATTTACCCCTTAATGTGGAAGATGGGGTGGTCTGGGATATTGTAAAAGATGGTGTCTATTCGGTCAAATCTATGTACCATCTAATTTCACGATCGATAGAGATAATCAATGCCCGCAATTGTTGCTACCTAGCAGTGGCTGCTTCCTCTAAAGATCCAAGCTTTTTTGTGGTTGGCGGTTTAAAACAAGGTATTGACTACAGATAATCTCATTAAAAGAGGGAAAATTCTGCTTAATATATGTTTGTTATGTAAAAAGGATGCTGAATCAAGTGCTCATCTTTTTCTACATTGCCTTTTTACTAGTAGTATATGGAGTTGGTTTTTTGCTCAAGTTAAAGTGGTGTTGATCTTACCTCCAGATGTTATAGAAATTATTGGAGCATTATTTGTCTATTCTTTACCTCAAACTGGTGTGGTGATTTAGCAAATAGCAAGACATGGAATTTTATGGGAGGTGTGGAAGGAGAGAAATAGAAGAGTGTTTGACAGTAATTGTTTACCAGTAGATAGAATTTTGGATCATATACTCCATTTTATTTGGATGTTTTTGTCTATCACAAAGGTGTGGAGAGATATTATAGAAGTTAATGTTAAGAGAAATCTATACAATCTTTTTCAGTTGGGTTATAGGAAATATAAACCGAAAGGGAACTGGACCGCTCTAGTAAGAGGTGTTTTGAAACTTAATTTTGATGGGAGCTCTCTTGGTAATCTAGGTCCAGCGGGTTTTGAAGGAGTTTTGAGGGATTGGGAATGACATATTCTTTTTTCTTATTCAAGTCCTTTAGGTGAGAAAATTGCAAATCAGCTGAATTTTTGGCTCTTCTTTATGGCCTGAAATTACTTAGCGACTAGTTTTTAGGTTCGATTTGCATTAATGAATGAGATTCCCTCAATGTTATCAATTGGTGTAAGGGGGAGATGAAGGTACTTTGGGAATTGCGTTCTATTTTGCTCCAAATTTTGGACTTATCCTGATCTTTTTCTCTTTCCTTCGTCTACGTTTTCTGGGAGGCTAATGTTTTGGCTGATAGTCTAGCTACAAACGTCACTTCTCTTTATGAGATTTTAGTCTCTAATGATGTAATTTTTGTTTAGCTCTGAAATAAAATTATATGAATGTTATAAAAAAATAAGTAAAAAATACTTTGGCTAAAGGAACTCCTGCGTAAGTATAATATCTATTTACTCCTTAGGGCAAAACACATGCTAGTGATACCTTCTAGATTTCAAATTTTGGTGATGTAATCTCTACTACCATAAAACAATCTCAGCAAAAACGCTCTTCGAAAATAAACTCTCTTTGTAGTAGAACAAGTTAACACTTGAAGATTGAATAGAGACTGCCCTATTTTTGAAGGGCTAGATCCAAGTGGTACAAAACTCAAATTTCAAATTTTTTCTTTTAAAAATAATCGAGTAATTCTTGTGTCTTACCCAAATTTCATACTAAAAAAACTCAATGCTTTATATATAGGGTGTAGTTGTTGCAACTTGAAACAATCAAAGCAAGGTTCACCACACAAATTTCATTATGAGATGTAATTTTGGTATAAAATTTATTCGGATGGCGTGGAAATCTATTTTTATATTTAATTATAAAATTTTAAACTTCAAAAATAGTTTAGATCAAGGAGATCTATAAACACATGAAAACATTGAAAATAGATGGTCAAAATAATGTGGTGCAAGATATATTATTTTTGGGACTTATAATCTTTTATGTTTTTCTTCGTATTCATAGTTTTGATATTGAGATTATCAATTAGAAGGTTTTCCAACTTCAAAACACCCTTTTGTAATGGATTTTTAGGTGCATCTTAATTCTACATTTTAAAGTTACAACTTTATATAAACACTCACACTCTCTCTTTCTCTATATATAGTTACAACTTTATATAAAC